CAGCAGTTATGTATTTTATTTGTAAGGAGTTTGCTTAAGGATTAACATACTTTTTTTCCCTTAGGTAAAAATATTTCCATATTATGTCAGTCTTACCAATATTTATGCATTTTCTTTGCTGTCACAACAAAAGCTCTTCATGCTTTGACTAGGAGTCATTGTGCAGATGGAATTGAAAACAGACTGCTTATAATTCCAGTAGCAAAGCCTTGGATTCAGACAATTTGCTGTGTGTGCTACATGGCTTTAGAGCCTAAATATATGGCATTACAGTGATCTATTCATTAAAAGTCAGCCATCTATCTTACCATGTATTTTATATTAAATACCATGATAACCATAGTGGCTTTTTTTTTTTTTTTTTTCTTTTTTCATTCTGGTGATAGATTTTATTAAAAAGTGATTCATCAATTCTTCTGATAAATGAATTGTGGAGGCTTAAGGTGTTCACTTTGCTTTTATCATTTATTATACCCTGTGATCCACACAGTTGTCTGGATGAAATTGAATTTGACAAATGTGAGCTATGATTTAACACTTATGCTACTTAGCAGTCTAACTTTTCACAATGCAAAATACTCTGGGATTCTAGAATGACTTAATAGAGTAAGAAAGAAGTCAGAACTCACTCAATTTCTGAACATGTTCTACTCTGCCTAGACAGTTGTCCTGACTGGCATTGCGACTGATAAACTGACAAATAGAATTCAGCTAAACAAAGAAGGACCTTTTTAATAGAGTATTAAGCATTCTGGTTAGCTTTCCACTTTGCTCTTGAATTGGAAGCAGCACAGGCTGCTGTCTGGTGGTACACAGAGAGAAATTTAGAAAAGCTGAGACAGAGAAAACTTAAACTGTTGAAACATACAACCATACAGAATTCATGTTGATCGGAGCTTACACAAGAAGTATGGAAATTAGTACATTTTGGAAATGGGGAAAGAGTGCAAAAGGAATGGCAGAAGCCGATTTTCACTTTGGTAGGAAGGGCTGTGAGCTCTAAAATTTACCTCTCAGTAATATGAGTATTAGTCACTGTCACACACTGAACAGATTAGCAAAGGATGCTCTAATGCTACAGATACATTACTTTTAAAGATCTTTAAAAAATCTTTTAAAGAAGATTTTTTAATAAGAGTTTGATGACTTTGATCATATGATAGAGATTTTTTATCTTATTAAGTAGGCAATACTAGTCACTAACCATGGAGTATTTGAATGAGCTGGAAATATTTCCTTTTTTGTATGAAAGAGTTATAATTTTTATTGCCTAATCATATTCTATAAATGAAAGGAATAGAACCTTTACATTATATTAACCTGACTTTAAAAAGCACAGTTAAAATAAAATGTCATTAGCAGTGTTAAATCAAGCAGATCAACCTTATGAAAGTGTCACCAGGCTCCGAGTCTGACTACAAAAGTAATCTAGCTTTTCTTTCTTTCTTTTTTTTTTTTTATTTTTCTTCATTCTCAGTGGGAGAATGAGTGAAACTCAGTGAACTGTGACCGTGGAATTCATGTGGTGAAAAGCAAGAAAAGAACAGTTCAGTACATCTTTCCAGGAGAAGGAAGATCTGCTCAGAATATTTGTTATTGACTTGTTCTGTGATCACAGTTCCATAGTCTTTTTCAGGCAAACATGTAAAAAAAAGTATCTTAGTAGGTTAGGGTTAAAACTAAATCTGTAGCATATCTGCAAATGTACTTCCACAGTAAACCTGCAGAATTTATTTAACACAGCTCACAGGAGAGGAACAAGCTGAATTCACAGTGTCTCAAAAGCTTAGCTTAGGGAGATGAATAGACAGTGCTAAGACTCAAAGAAGGTATTTTATCACACACTTCAAAGCCTGAGGTCTGAGACAGCTTCACTCTCAAATCACTCTCAGCTCTTGCTGTCATGTCAGAATAGGATGACTTGGAGTATACTGTGAAAAATGTTCCCCTTCACTACCATTTTCATTCCACTGCACTGAGAAATACTGTGATTTTAGGTCTGTTAATAGAAAATCCTTTTATATGGAATCTCACTTCAAAAATTCCTTCAATAGAAAAATAAATGATTGCCACTTATTTAGTGACCTAATATTTAGAGAAAGCTACACTATAACACACCACAGCCATCTAAAAAAGATACGTACAGATACTGAATTTCACCATTCCTTCAGTTATTTATCAATATTAATTTTGAACAGAAGTGAGCTTTGTAAAAGCCTCTTACCAAGGAAGCAGCAGCTGGTTATAGAGTAAGTATAAGTTTGTTGATATGCATAAACCGGGCAGGCTAATAGGCCACATTATTGATGAAAGGAAAGCTGGTTCAAGCTCTTGGCTGGCTGCACAGGAGTTTCATTTCATTCCTTCCCCCAGGTTCACATCAGCTTTTGGCTAGAGATTGGGACAGTGTGTAACACTTCTTCAAAACCTTACCTTTTGTTTTGTTCTTTTATCCTGAACCTCTGAGACATAAAAACTGCATGAAAAAATTTTCTGAGATCTCCTATATAACAGACTGAAGTCCAGCTGACTCAGAAACACCAAAATTACCTTTAGCACCATCCTAACTGTCCTTGAACAAATCCATTTTGAAATGTAGGAATATTGGAATATTTACCTTCCTGATCATACAGTAGGAAAAGAGCAAAATGAGACTCTATGGGTCCTATGCCTTCCCTCCAGCAATGCACAGTTAGCAATCTTTAGAAATCATGACCACACTGGCAGGATGAATGTTTTTTTGTACTCCCAGTACTTCTTAAGTTCTTTTCCTTCACTTAAGTGAAAAAGACAAAAAACAAAAAACAACCCAACTACAGTGGTGGTTATCAGGAATTAAGAAGAACAAATGCAGTAAAATAAGGGAAAAATCTATCATTACAAGCGCACTGCAGACAAGTCTATTAAAATCCAGACAAGTATGGCTACGATAAATGTAAGAGTAACTTCAATCATAAAAATTCAAGAAATATTTTATGTACAGTATCATGTGGAAAACTGCTATGATAATTAGCAATCAAATTTCCAGAAATGTGTATACAGTAGACGTTATCCTTAAATAACCAGGAATCAGTTCAAAACCTTTCTTTCAAGTATTTCCTGTACCAAAAACTTTTCCTTTCCATCTCAAATAATCAAAGAAAATTTTGCAATTTTGAATTTGTGATGTAGTCAGTTTGCAGTGGAAGAAATAATCACATGACCATAATGTGTGTTTCTGCAGTAAATTGTGGTAGCACGTTAAATCAATTTGAAGCATACTACTCTGAATAAAATATGTGAAAAATCTGTTAAAGCATGTACAGATTTTCAGCACAGTGGCTCAATGATGTATCAGGTTATTTCCTTCAGTGAAGGTTTTTCTTGCTATCTCATCTTCATCAGCTGAGGCAGAAGATGAATATTTGAATTGATGTAATTACATGCTTATGTCTTGGTTTAGGCAGGTGATTTTAAAATAAGTTTTGCATAGTTTTAGCATAGCTATTTGCACTGCAGTTTAACAGCCAGTAAACACACTTTTTTCTTCCTGCAGTAGTGACAAGAAGTGTCACTTGTACAGTTCTTGGCATTCCAATAGATGGTTGTAATGTAATTTCTATTAAAAAATGATATATTATTAATTTCAGAATTCTACACTAATGCACATACTCAGGTTTTGCATATATTTGGACTCCGGATTCTATGCAATGAAATAGGACTCCTGCTTTTGCACCTGGGTTAACAGTATCTTGTTATTGCATTTTTTGTATTTCTGCTCTCATAATTTTTGTGGTGGATAAAATATTTCCTGCTATGATGGTGATGAGACAGTGGAAAAATTTTCCTAGAGAAATTTTTGATGGTCCATCTCTGGAGGTGTTCAAGGTCAGATTGGATGGAACTTTGGGCAATCTGGTCTAGTAGAAGGTGTTCCTGCCTTGTTTCTAGATTTTAGCAATATATTAATTACAGTACCCTGCCTTTTTCACTAGTTATTGCTTCACTCTGAAGACATTACACAGACTCACATCACTTTCTAGGACTGCCTAATTCTGCCTTGCAGCGTTCCAAAAGGGAGATGGCTAGACGAAGCTGAGACATCACTCAGAGAGCAGCAAATCAATCAGCTCAGAAGTTATATAGATTCCAAGATTTCTGCTGATGAGTATAGAGTATCATTTCTGCATTTGCACTTCTTAATCATTTCCAAAATATCAGCATGTCTAGTTATTCATTAGCATATTTTGTCAACAACATGAATTCTGCCTAATTTGTCCATAGAAAAATTACTAAATGATTTGACATTAGAGACAATTACATTTTTAATGGGATTCAGAGATTCATTAAGAGCATTCACTTTTCAGGAATTGGCTAGGAATGTGATCTAAAGTTCAAGGATCCATTGTACCAAATGTGGTAACATGTAATAGCAAGATAATTTTCTCTCAAAAGAATTCATAATTTGAATTTAAATTGGTGAATAAAACAGCACAGGAAACAACTAGCATTATGTTCAACACTGCTGAAAACCAAAGAATTCCTGCATGGAGGACAGGCAGAATAATACTGTCTAGATATGTCTATCATGTAGAAATATATATACACAATTTGAATAAGAATACCTCGACTTCCTGGACTCTATGCATTCTCATCTTGATTTTTCTTACCAAATTTTCTTCTAATTTTCTTATCTTTTGGTCTCAAACAACCAGCTAGAAGAGAGCAAGCACTAAACTACCTTCTTTATAATTTGGTACTGGCAACTGAAGGTGGTGAAAATTTGTTACATTCCATTAGTGTAAACTACAACAGTAAGTATTTTGTAGAAAGCCAACAATCAGATAATTAGTAAAAAGGCAGTAGAGTTATTTCATATTTTCTGAGCTTAATGTAATACATCCCCATTCAGATGACATGACTTCATAAAAGTTAATCAATCACAATAACAAGCACTAGTAAAAGTTAGTTGATTGTATACATATACCCACAATTCTAGCACTGCTTCCTGAACCATGACATTATGGATCTTCAAGGTTTGTCAGGTACACGCTGGGATAAAGCAATGAAGTTAACAGTTTTTCAAATTCACATCAAAATAGAATATTTTCTGGAGATCGGGGCCATTATTTAGAGATTTGTTTGAGAGGAACATGTAGAAAACATGCCCAGCTCTATCACTGATGTTCACCTCAGAAATCAATAGATACATAAACATCACCACTGGTGTCTGTAGGAGCAACAAGCATTTTGAAAAAGAGGTTAATCTCATTTTAAGATAGACTTCTAATTAAACAATGGAACAAGTCACCCATTTAAATCTCTTTATATCAATGAATAAGAGGATGAGGAAGATGTCTAGTTTAAGACCATGAGCTTTACCTGGAAAAAACACAGCAGTATTTTACAGTTAATGTGCAAAAAGCAGAAGTAATAGATTGTTTGCAGTTAGTAAGTAAGGCTTTAAATAAACATATATCTTGAATTTTTGTCAGCTAGTATTCTAACTTTTCTCCTTTCGAAGTTCTTTTTCACTTATAGTTTTTAGTTTTAATATGAAAAAAATCATTCAACAGTAAAATAGAAATGAATTGTGCTTATTTTTTACTCAGAGGGACTCCGTGCATCAGTGCTGCATGCACTAAAAAGCTTGAACAACTCCTGTATCTGGTGTCAGACACGGACTGGTGGACCACATCTATCACTAAATGTTGATTGTTGGTTTTGGCTTTAATTTCTTCATAATACTTTCCCCCCCCCCCCCCCCCCCCCCCCCCCACCACGCAGTCTGGCCTCTAGAAAATTATCTAAGGAATAATAAAATGAAAGAATACTTACAGTCAATTCCCTTATGGTAAATCTCTTGTTGCATTAGTGGCTTGTTCAGTGTTGAAGCATATGATGCAGCAAAAGGGAGTAGCTCATTCATCTCACTTGTTGTGAACTGTATTAGGAAGACCTTTTCAACCCTACTGTACCACCAAGATTCATACCAAAAAGAGATTATTTGTACATTAGAGTATGTCTATTAATTTATTTATACTTAGAATGAATTCTGCATTTGACTTGTCAGCTTCACTGTGTGCTAATAAAAAAAAAAAAAATCAATTTTCTATCCAACCTTTTATTTTTAATTATATCGTTCTTTATAAATATGTTTATATTTTTTGTCCTCAAAATAGAGATCATCCTACTTATTTTAATAACTCATCTTTCCAGTTTTTCTTTTTATACGCTATTTGAATAAGCACTTCCAACATGAATAGGATGATAAATGTTACTAAAATGGAAAAAGAGGAAGTAAATTGCATTTCCACCCACGATAAAATAGAGCTAATAATTTCTACAGCTATTCATATGATTTAAAGGTCCAAAAAGCCAATAGAAGCACTTATTTACAACTGGAAGATGTTAAATCAGGATTTACTCTTACCGTTTATCATTTAAGAAACCACACGAGAGGATCGAATTAATTGCAAGACTTGGCATAGAAATTCAGCTTCTTGTTTGGCATACAGCTAGTAAATGTCCTTGACAATTACAAAGGCAGTCTGTAACATAACTAGCCTGTGCAATAGTTGCACTGATGAGGCAAGATAGGCACAATAACCAGGGATAATCACTGAATAATGCCAGAATCTGAATAGGCAGAGTTGAACTTCACCTGTGTTGTCTCAGTTCTATGTTCCTCGTGGCTGATGGATAGGCTTTGGTTGTTTCACTAAGGTGAAACGATGTACTGTGGCTCCTTGAGCTCTTATTCAGAAAACTATACATGCTGGATCTCCTGTGAAGGAGAGGTACACAAGGCAAAGAAAAGGCAATATACGGTCAGGCATTTCCACTGCTACTTTTTTCTAAAGATTAAAGTCATCTATCCCCAGAATAATCTAAGCTTTCAGAGTATTTTTGAAAACTTTTCTCCATGTATATCATCAGGGTTTTACAGGTAAGCAAATAAATTGACTTAGGAAGCTGGATGGTAAAAATGGAGACTCGGAAGCCTCTAGAACAATTTGATTTTTTCAAAGGCCACCCAGACAAAATTTAAATTCCTCTGGAGTTATGACCAAACAAACAAACTAAAAAATTAGGCCAACTTTCACAATGACAAAAACTGGAAATTAGTCCTGGTGATAAATATCTATTTCAGAAACACTTTATAACTAAAATGGGTCTAGTTTACTTTCTTACTAGAATAAATCTTTCAACTTTAATATATCTTCTATTCACTGTTAACAAGTGCAAAGTGTCTCCACTTATGCAGAATCCCGCTCAAATATGTTTCATAAAATTGTGAAATCTTGATATCTTGTTGGCCTTCTTGGCCTGAAACTTAACCCAATGTATCTGTTTTGTTATTAATGCATGAGGTATCATATTCTACAAAGAATCATCTTTTTTTTCTATATTTTATTTCATTAATCTTCTCTTCTGTCTAAAAAAAATTATGTTTGAATCTTGCCTGTTAAATGATGCTACTGCTCTTAATGAAAATTCTCAGGTTAAAATCATCTTTAGATAGGGATATTGGCTAAAATTATATTTTATAAATCAGTCAGAAATAAAGACTACACTTTAAATCATGAAAAAGTTTTTATTCCTGTTGTTTTTTAGTACTAACTTTCAAAATTAAAGTGTCTATGCTCCTTGAAGAATTTCTATATCAAGGATTCTTAAGTATTGTGATTTCATGTTACAAACACAGAAAGGAATGTGGACTACTTCGTTGGAAACAATATGAGCAAAATCATCATTCTGAAGGTATTTTGTTGGAAACTTTGTTTCCCAAAGGAGAATACCAATACAATTTTATATTTAAGCAACAAGATTAAGAAATAGGCAAAATATATATTTTTTAATTTTGATTGAAAAAAAAAAATAATAATAATAATAACATTATGTTGCCACATTGTAATGTGCTGTGGAATACTATAATTAACATCCCATAACACTGGCCCATTATTTACAACCACTGAAGTAGGAAGTCAGTCCCGATAGAAATGAACCGTGAAGTGGGAATGTTTCATATTTCTATAGCATTCAGATCTTGGTGTGCATTTGAAAAGAAAAAAAAATATTTAAATATTCATTTTGATTTTAAGTAATTCTGAAAATGAAATACCATGAAATGAAAAAAATATTCCCTTTGAGATAAAATTAGATCAATTTCACTATTCATAGGTACAATTATCCGTCATGATATTACAGGTGTGAAATGCAGAAAGAAGAAAAACAAAAGTTAAGCAGCCTTTAAATGAGTGAGTCTTACAATTTCCATTTGAGCTGAAGATTAAATTTTTATTAAAGTCACCAAGTCTTCAAACCAACTAAAGTGAACAGAGGGAAATTATAAATAGGTGCTAAAGAATACTCGTTCTTGCATGCGAGAAGTGAGCAAGCCTTCATACTTTTTGTTAGGAGTGGATAATAAAAACGCAATTGCCAAAATAGCCTATTTTGTAAACGTACATGAATTAAAATTGTGGGATAGATGACCTCCTAGAATCTCCTAAAGAAAGTGATACTTTAGTTTGATGAAACTTAAAGCATCTTTTTATCAAGTGAACTGTTCAAGTTTATCTCAACCAATATGCTGACCTTTAAGAGTCTATTACTTTTGCTCAACTTGCAAATCTGGCTAGAAGCAACTGACGAAATATTTTATTTTGGGAACATCCGTGAAGCAAATAGTTCATATTAGTATAGTACCTCTCCATTAAGAAGTCTTTGCTATTGACTTAAATTCAACATGCTATATACGCTTTATATTCACTTTTTACTGTTGAATTTTATGAACCGAAATGTATATATGCTGAATAGAATGTACTTTCTATGCAGTGAGATAAACTAAAGGCTGTTCTCATTTCATTTTTTCCTCTTTATGCCCTGTTTGTTACTCACATCAATAGCTCATTCTACTGATCTACATAAAATAGTCCAAGAATTGCAACAAATTTCTAACTGTGCCTAGATTAAGCCTTTGAATTTTTCATGGCTTTTCTCCTTGAATACAATACGTAAGGACAGAGTTTTCAATAATCCTATTACTTAGTACAGAAATAGGCTACTGCTAGCAGAGTCTGATGTTTTCAGATTCCAATTAGCGACTGTGAGTCCTGCATATAAATTTGCAGAGTAATTTAACTGCTGTAACATTTATCAAACAAGAAGCAGAAACATTTCATACTTTCCAAGGAACCAGATTTTAAAGTTATCACTTATAAATGATCTTATGTACCGAAATCTGCTTCTCCCATTACATATAGCAAATTTAGAATAGTCATTCTAGAGAAGAATTTATCTGTACTTCCTAAAGATAAATTCTTCTCTAGAATGACTATGAAACCAACTCAAATATCTTAGATGATAGCTTAAACTGTTATTCATTTTGCTATTTGAATTAACGTGGCTGCATATCAACAAAGTTTGATAGTGCTAATATTTTTTCTTCCCATAGAATGAGTTCTTTCTGAAATTACAGAGTTTAATTTATGCCCAGGACTTGGCAAGTATCAATTATTTTAAAACTCTCTTATCCTTTCTCTCAGACACTCATAGACCTGAGTTCTTAGCAAGAAAACATAAACGGAGAGATCTTGAGCATAGTTAAGGGTGAGTCAGGGATGAGAAAACTGAATCTGTAGAAATCAAACTCTCCTATTTTTAGAATTAAATATCCAAGCATGGAACACCTTGTTCTCCTGAAACTAGTGCTGCTAATTCAGGAGTCAGCACTGTAACTTAGATAAAATCTCTTAGTATGATTTTTTTTTTTTTAATCAGTTCACTAAGACAGACACAAAACCTACAGGGGAAGGAAGAAAAAAAAAAAAAAACCAACCACCACAGTTAAGAAAAATGAATACTCTTTCTAACACTAACAAAGTCAAAATATTAGAAAAAAACTGACAATCGATATCTTGCTAAATGCACAGTTTAGCATTTGTATTATATAAATGTTTTACTAAAGCAATAGCCTTAAAAGACTTCCTAGATCTTGTGATCAAAAGCTGATCTTGATCATAAAAGAGCAGGTAAGCTGGACAGAATGTTGGTACAGAGTAAGGATTGTGATATAAATAGGGCAAGGACATTGATATCAGAATGTAGTTTGGAATTCATATGCATAATGGTTTGAAAAGCAAGAATAATAGCTGCTGTGATTGGTGTGACTTTTTCCAACTTCTACACAAAAAGAGTCAGAACTGAATAAACTCTGTATTGACATATTGTTTTGTGTCAGCGCTCCACTGTGTGCATTCACATGATTTCTCATCAGTCTGAGTTAGGAACATGCCTTGGACTATATCATGGCTGAGACTTCACCATCTGTAGTGGGCTAGTCTTGTCTAACAGCTGAACTCCCACCCACCTGCTCTCTTCAACACCCTCCACAAGATTGTGGCAGAAAGTAGGAAGAACAGGCATGAGAAAAGGCATGGATTGAAGTATAATCACTTACCAGTTAGTGTTATGGGCAAAATAGATTAAATTTGGGAAAAATAGCATAATTTAATATCAATAAATATTTAATTACAGATCCAAGTAGTGACAAACAATAAGAAAAAATATTAAAACAACTTTCCATCCCCATTTTGATCCCTTTCTGATTTTTTTTTTTTTTTAATTTCTTTCTTTCTCTCCTTTATTTCCTTCTAAAATAAAGTTTGTGACTCTTTGTTATACATCCTGTATGCTCAGAGTCAAGAGGCACTGCTTCTCATCTTGCATAAAGGTGGACATGCAAAGTAGAGAGTTGTTGTTTTTTCTGGTTCAGATTCTTTTCATTTTTACTTCTACCTGAGACAGCAGTGTCTGATGACAGCTAAAGGTTGGAGAGAAGACAGCAATGACTGTTGTCAGATGCTTTGAAATGGAGTTATGTCTTGGGTACCAGTTTGCACGGATGAATGGCTCTTGAAGCACTCCTCTGTGACAAGAGAAGGCACAAAAAACAGGGGTCATCTAGAAGCGCTTCACCTTATTCAGTTTCTTGTCACTGGAAAGGATTTGAGCACCTGTTGGTGGCTTAGTTCTTTGATCCTCTGAGATAAGAGCACACCTAGAAAGTACTAGTAGAGCCATCCAGTAAGAAAAGAACAGCAAAAGATAAATTCCAGCAACTGACCATTTCTTTCCTTGAACTGAATAGAATGTTTCTGTTCTGCATTACTACAGAATATGGTGTGGGGCGAGGAGAAAGAGGGAGAGATGGTGCAGGGATCCATCTGGAACCTGTTGAGAAGGTTTGGAAACAAATGGCTTAATAACTGTTTTAATAAGACAGAATAAGAAAGCAAATATAGTGAGTAAGTCTTCAGATTCTGATCACAAATATGATATTTGTGCAGCTATGGAAGCTTAGATCACTCAGGTTGCTTCTCCGCAGGTACTGAGGTGGGAGCTACCCACAGGCTTCTCTGTTAGAGATTATCCTGCATAATCTCAGGTCGAGATTATCCTGCAAAGAAAGGATTACAATATAATGGAATATTTCAATTGGAAGGGACCTTCACTGATCATCTAGTGCAACTTCTGGACCACTTGAAGCCTAACCAAATGTTAAAGCATATTAAGCTTGTTCCAGTGTTTGACAGCCCAGAACTGCATGCAGTAGCCAAAGTGAAGCCACACCAATACTAAGTACAGCAGGATGACCACTTCTTTTGACCGGCTGTCTGTACAGAGCTTATTGCACCCCAAAATACATTTTGCCCTCTACTGCCTTGGTACACTGCTGGTTCATGCAGAGCCTACTGTCACCACCACCCCCAGGCCCTTTTTTACTGAGGGGTTCTCCAAACACTTATCTCCCATCTGTACTTGTGCCTAGCATTGCTTTGTCCTAGGTGCAGCACCATGTGTTTTTTTTTTTTTTTTTTTTTTTTTTTTTTTTGGTGTGTGTGTGTGTGTGTGTTTTTTTTTAAAAAAAACTTCTAGATTTTTTTAGATGCTGTTGATTGTTGTCCAGTATCTACCCACTGTATTTTGAATCTACTCCTTAGTCTAGCCAAACTGTTTGGGCTCTTAATTAGTAATTAGCTCTTAATCACTTAATTAAATCTTGATATTTCTGAGTAGAGGATCCTGTGGCCTTTAATTCCATGCAAAAAGTTAACTTCTGACAAGCTGCTTTCCATATCTGTACTCCAATAAATACGTAGGTTGCTCTGAAAGCAATGCCTCCTATTTATTTCTATGGAAATTACAACAGATACAAAGGACATATTTCAAAGGAAAAATAAAAATAAAAATCAGCTACAATGTTTTCTGCATGCAGGAATTCAGTTCCACACCTTTTCTTCACATGCACTTTTATCTGGACACCATTTTGTCAGACTGCCCCTCTGCTACCATCTACCACACAGTAACAAAATGTAATGGAATGTAGGCAGGAAGGTTTAGCCTCTGCTGCCATACCACCAACATCTGTCTCTGACATCACGGCCAGCTATACAAACTGCTGAAAACATTATTTCAGTTCATTACTAGATGTTCAGTTGTTCTGAATGGCAGCACAGACATCAGATGCATTTCTAAGATACAGTATTATTTTGTTTTTGTTTACTTGGCATTATTACAGGATTACTTGCTCCTGCTGAAGATGCTATGACCTATTTGCACAGTCAGCACATGTACTGGACAAGGGTCTTAGACAAACGGAGGCTAGTGTGCCAGACATCTCAAAGACCAACACAGATTCAGCCTTAACAAGCCACCAAAGACAATTCTCACCTTGCGCTTCCTTGGTTTATCTGATGTCTCAGAAAGGTAAGTGAAGTTATTTTTTGTTTTTATTTCAGCTTTGCTCACTGAAATTCTATCTTCCTGCTGGTATCTTATTCTCTGAGAAGCTCCACAGTTTTGACTTGCACTTCTGACAAGTTGTGACACCTGAAATCTCAGCTTATTACTGCTCATAGGGATTTGGAGTAAGTTACTGCATATTTACTGTACAGACAGAGCATACTCATGGACAACATGGAATAGATGGTAACTATAATTGCTTTCTCAATTTTATGCAGTGACAAATATTCATCTGTTTATAAACTTACATTACATCCAAACTGCAGAGTTGAAGAAACATTGAGATGGAAACTCTGTCTAAAAAGACAAGGGAAAGAAGAAGGTGGTAGCCCTGCGTTATTCCTTTCTTTCCAAAACAAGAAAATCTGAGGTGTTTTATCAAAACTGTTTGTTTTAGACACGTATAAGTATTTCACCCATCTGTCCAGAATCTCTTGCATCATTAGTTCGTACTTGTTCTCTGCCACTCACAGACTACTTTTAGTCTCATTCTGAAATGCAACAAGAAGAACTGATTTCATGGAATTGTTTAATAACTATCTTTTCATCAGTCTTTAGGTGTGATTCACATTGAATTAACTGCTGAATATAAGTTCAGATTCAGACTTTAAACAACCTTCTTTATAGATACATTCTCGCATGCAGAAAAAAAAAAATCATCTAATCAGTAGATAGTGGCTACTCTACCATCTTCCCTGATCTCCAAAACAAAACTCTGAAAACTTAAATCCTTGTACCAGCCAAGTGGACAGATCTGATAGTTTCAAAGCAGGTTAATCAACATGCCAGACTTGATAAGTTTCTGCAATAAAAACAAAGTGCCCACTTGCCTTTTTAAAATTTGGAAGCCAGACACCTAGGAAACTCTTCATTAGTCAAAAATTGTCTCAGACTGATTGTCAGCCTCAAAGAGTACCATTCTATCTAGCAGAATGAAACAAAATCTTTCTAATGGGATTATTGGCAAATGATGCTAGCTTCATGATTGAAAAATCCTTGGTGAGAGAGCCTCCAGGGAAAAGTTATTTTGAAGCTTACTAGCAATGAGAATTTTTCCTCACTAAATCACTGGTAAACTCTCTGTTTTGAAAAGATTATGATCAATGGAAAGCTACTTGAGAATATTTTTTCAATTCCTAGGTCAGTCACTAGGACTTTTACAGATTTACCAGTTCTCATTTTGAGCATTTGAATGTTTTGGAGAACACAGAGAATATCTCTGAGTGCTTTACATGAAAGAAAAAACATTAATTCTGAGGAATTACATTCATTACACTTAACTGGAACTACATCATTATATATGAAGGATGTTAAAGGATAGGATCATCTATTAAAAACGTCATGCAATAATCAAATAGATTGCTGGTTTAACATTGCCATCTTTAACCGTGTGCTTGCATGGCCCTGTGAAAGAATTTCCACTGGTTTCACTGAAAAATCATCACTTTGTATTTTTTTAGTAACTTTCTTCTCAGTAATAATGAAGAGAACTTTAAAAATCCCAAAACTAAAGAGACTAACTCACAGCAAAAGGTACAGTGACTAGGAAAAGGACAAACTAATATAATTTATGATATAAGAAAGTTATAGAGCAAAGAAAAGAGCATTTCCCACTGGGATACAAGTACTACAGAGCAAAAGGAACATGATGAAGAAGAAAAAGTATCTCACCCTTTCCAATAACCAGAGGCAGCCTTGAGAAGAGCACAACCTCCATCCACAGAAGCTACTCCTTTGGCTGCTAACCCTTAAAGGAGAGGGAGAAGGGTCCACCTCCCCTCATTAAAGTGCACTGCTTGCACCTGAGCTCCTGGGTTAACCCTGCCTTCTCAGCTGGTGCTCAACCACTGGCTCAGGCCATGACCTGGCAATAACCATTCAAAAGTATATAGTATTAATCACTTGCTGTTTCTTTGTGAATCTGCTTTGATGAGATCTAGTCACTGAAACTCTTGTCAGGGTTAATGACATATTTATGGAGACACTAACCCTTTAACTTGCTGGAACTGCTAAGACAGAACTGTAAAGGATGGAGGCTGTTTAGGTACAGTGTAGCAATGTCCTTAGCTCTAGAATAAATAGAGCCTACTTCAGCAGAGTGATCAATCACTGTGGCATGTTGCCACATGAGAAATGCAAGTGTAACAAGGGGTCTGTTAGCTGAATAACAGTATCTCTGATATGTCACCATAAGATACAGACAATTTCACAAAAAGTAAGAGGCTGCATTAGGAGATGAACTTTATAAAATGCATTAGGAGATGAACTTTATAAAATCCTAGAATCAAGAGTTGTTGGAGTTGGTTAGGGGCCTCTAAACGTTATCCAATCCATCTCCCCTGCAATGAACAGGGACACCAACATCTAGATCCAATTGCTCAGAGCCGTTCAGTCTGATCTTGACAGTTTCCAGGGATGGGGCATCCACTGTCTTTCCATGCTACCTGTGCCAGTACTTCTCTACTCTTATTGCAAAAAGCTTCCTCCTTATCTTCCTTCTTTTAGTTTGAAACTATTTCTCCTTATCCTATCGCAACAGACCCTGCTGAAGAGTGTCTACTTCTTTCTTACAGCCTCCCTGTGAATACAGTGAGACACTGGAAATGTGAAGGACATGTCTGTGACAGAAGTTTTTTCAGCTCAAATTCAAGCTAGCCAGTTATTCATGACTTCTTTCATAAAAATTTTTTTACCTGCAAGTAAGGGGAAATCTTTCAGTAGACTCACTCTTCAAGAACAATATTCATTGTTGGTATATTACAGATTACCTTCAGATTCCTTTGTGATTCCTTCCTCCAGATTACAGTACTTCAACATTTTAAATGTGACCTTTCTTCCATTAGAGATATTTCAGCCAAAAGGGCCCATCTATGCGAGGATTGAAACAGAAAAATATTTTTCATTAAAGGATCAAAGCAAGAAAGATATTTCTACCAGAGGAAAAGTTGCTGAGAACATATTTGTAAGCATCCCTAGAAAATTTTGGAAAGAAGTTAAATGCCAATGAAATTGGTAACCAGTTTAGTTGTTGCTGAGAATTCTGACCAGAACAGAGACAAAAACTTTTTTTTTTTTTATTTAAGTTAGACTCTGCTTAGTCCTATGTGAGCAAGGAACCAGAATTTCCTGTGTGATGACAGCCACAACCCCTGAGTGATCCTCTGGAGATAGCTGTTCCTCACACTTAACAATGGCCACAAGAACAGGGAGAGCATGCTCTTTAAGAACAGCAAACTGGAGGTGAAGGCCTTGACTTCTTCCGGAGCTTTTAAGGCTCATCACTGAGTGTCATGCAACATCCACTAGGCTTAGTCTTGTTCTGTATCTTCTACAGTCACTGCTTGAGATTATCAGGTAATCTTATTGTTAGGAAAGTATTCTGGCAATAGAAATGGTGTGAACTAGCTCATATAAAGGCAAGAAACAGAAACATCTCACCTTAACACTTCTATTTTTACCTTTAATACGGAGGATTACTATCATACCATGTTGTGGGGGAAGTACCATCTCTCAGTTTTTCACAAGCATACTATCAGCCCAATGTATTTCCAGTAGTAGAAGGGTCTGACAAAAAAATAAGTGAGTTTGTGGCATGCAGTTCTTCTAGCCCTTTGCTTGAACAGCACAATGACTGCTCTATGTGTTTCATCACATCCAACTTTTCCTCAAGACAAGTGACTAGTGCTAAAACCTACCTGCCTCAGTCACTAAGAAGGGAGCAGAGGAACAAAGAATATTTCTTTGATTTCTGAGCATCTGCTTCTTGATCACACAGAAGAGAGACCTACTCAGTTACTGTCTAACTACGAACACAATTTTCTTAAAAATATATCTACAACCTTAGGAAGCTGGTGGAGTTACTGTCCCTGGAGGTTCTCAAGAAAAGGATAGATGTGGCTCTGAGGAACATTGTTTAGTGGCCACGGTGATGGTGAGTTGATGGTTGAACTAGATGATCTTACAGTCTTTTCCAACCTTAATCATCCTATGATTCTATGATTCTACTTGTGCACCACTAATATGCAGATTCTACTAGATGTCCTACCCTTTACTGGTTGAAAAGCATTTCATTTTACCATTGTGAACATTCTGATAATTTATCTCGGCATGTTTATGATCTATGTAGAAAAGACAGCCATGCAGTGTGCTTTAAATCCCAAACATACAGCCATCTTTACTCTCTATAGAATCCAGATCATATGATGAAAGGGGAAGATATGAGTTCTATCTAAATCTTATCCTATTCAGTGTGGTCAAGATACAGCCATAATAAGTTTCTGAATGTAAGAAATCAGAAATACTTAAATATCTAGTCATTCAGATGTTGTTATATGGTTTATGCTGTTAAATGAGGAAAGACATGAGGCTACATTTTTCAGTCATATTGTCCCTGGACTGCTTTAGTGCTCCGAGACCTGAGGCTCAGAGCGTGGTAAGGTGCAGGAATAAATTGTCCAGAGAAGTTGTTGCTGACCAACACCTGGGAGTGTTCAGGGCTTTGAGAAACCTGATGCAAGATGTCCCTGCTCATGACAGTGGGATTGAAACTAGATGGTCTTTAAGATGCCTTCCAGCCCAAAGCATTTTATTATTTTATGATTCTGTGATTATTCAAAAGAGAGAATTAATGCAGTACAAGAAAGAAAACTTCAATGACAGGAAGAAGAATAAAACAAGACATTGAACTTAGTAGTGATTAGAATTAAATTAATGTAGCAAATGGAACAAGATATTAGAAGCAGTAGAGCAAAATCATGGTAACAGAGAAACTTAAGCAGAGAAAGATGCCTTGTAGAGAGAAGGTTCAAAAGCATTCTTACTTCAAACCCTAGACACTCTACAATATTCCATTAAATTATGCATCAACATTGTGTTATTCTTTTAATGTGGCTGAAACAAGAAATATATTTATCTGCTGTGAGTGGAAGAAGATGAGTGAGAACCAGAATGATGAAATTTTCAAATCAAAAGTGAACTTGTCTAAGCATTTCATCTAATACAGAGCATTTCAAAGCACAATTGTCCAGAATATTTCTGGACATTCAAATAAACTTCAAGAGGCAATGAAATTTCTTTCTGTTTGTGTTGCAGTGAAAGGGAGTAAGAAAAGCAGAGATAAAAAAATGCATCATTTTAGATTTCATTTTATTGGAAAAGATATGAACAGCTGTTATATTTTGAATAAAAAACATTACATTTTTAATGAAAATTAATTTTATCCCTAGCAAATATTGTACTGCTTGATAATCACTTTCTATTCTAACTAGCTTTACACAAGGCATACTTTAATGTGAAATTTAAATAAAATATATTAATTTGGTAATATTTTAAAAATGCATTTGTACATTTAAGACTTTAAATGTGAATAAAAGGCTTTATATACTCGCTTAACAGAAATTGAACATTTATACATTTTATTTCTCAAGAGCCATATTTTAAACAAAAAGATTATGAAGCAGTATTTTTGGTCTTTGATAAATACAGTAAAAACAGTTTGATTATTAACTTAATGCCAGGCTAAATATCATTTGAATAAAATGATTGAAATAAAACACAAAACATGAAAAATAAACAAATAGAAGACATGGTATTAGCTGATACTGAATAAATACCTTCAGAACAAGTCATGCTTTACCTTGAGCTTTCTTGTTTATTGCAAGACAATTCTGATCACTGTGATAATAAAAATAATAACTAAAGACAGCTCATAAAAACTATTAAATTCATAATAATGAACAGGAGGACAGATGTACTGGGTCAGTAAAAGGCCCACCTAAGCCAATATTTCTTCCACAGTGGCCAAAAATGACTGCCCAGAAAAAGATTAGAACAGAACAAGGATACTCCTTCACTTTTCACTCTGCTAAATAATTTTCAACCTGTATTCATTTTCAGCATATTTAGTTTTTTTTTATTGTCCAAGGAAGATAATCACAAATGCATTTGCAAACAAAACAAAACAAAACAAACAAACAAAAAAAGCCACACACACATTGGTAGAGAGATCAAGAAAATAACAGGAAAGGAGGTGGAGAAGGCTGGTTTGTTTTGTGGATGAAGAGCACACCTAATGAGGCATTAGAAAGATTAAGAAGCCAGAGTTTCCTCAGAGATGTCCAGCTGTGAGAATCCTTCTCTGTTTTTTTTTGGCTCAAAGCTTGCTTCCTGAGGTATTTCTTGTGATAAGACTCTGAATGATTTGTTGAGGAGGCAACTAATAGGTGCTAACCGTGTGACAATGGATATCGCTTTGGGAACATTTGAAAGCCCCTTCCCCCAGAGCTGCTTGCTCTGTAGAAGAGCTGATGAGAATGCTCAGGAGTGTTTACTGGCGGAAGATCTGGCCTGTGACAAAGCAGCTCCAGCTAGGTGTGGGAAAATTGGGGAACGATACCATCGTGTTCTGTGAGAAACAGGATGCAGATGGGCACCCCTGCTCCCTCTTATCTGCTGGCAAGGCCCGGAAGATGGGAACAAAGGAGTTTCTGCTGAGATCCCAGAGCCAGAAGCTGCCACTCAAAGGAGAGCTGACTCGACCACTTTGGATTTGAGCTGTCACTCCAAAGATAGCTGACTTCACCACTTTGAAACCATTGAAAAGGGGCCATCATCACCGTTGTCGTCGTCGTTGTTGGCAACAGGACAACTCTGCCTGACGACCCACCGCTACTGAAGATCAAAGACTGAACTATGAACCACGCTGGATCCATGGTGGTGACTATGTCCCTCTTGCTGCCTATAAAGACTCCTTGCCTCTTCTTTTCTAT